AGAGAGAATGAGAGAGAGAGAGAGAGAGAGCACATGAGAGGGGGGAGGGTCAGAGGGAGAAGCAGACCCCCTGCTGAGGAAGGAGCCCAATGCGGGACTCGATCCTGGGACTCCAGGATCATGACCTGAGCCGAAGGCAGTCGCTTAACCAACTGAGCCACCCAGGCGCCCAAGGGAGCACTTTCTAAGTTTAAAAATTCATGGAAGACATCACGCAAGAGTCTGTGAATTTGGCCGTTTATAAATGTAACACTTGGATATACCCCCAAAACGACTGAAGGGAGGCAAAGAACAGACTGCAAGAAATATTTAGAACCAATAACGTAGAAAAGGATTAATAATCATTTTTTTGAAAGAGTGTATAAAAGATGCACATTAAGGCTCCATTTAGAAAATTGGTAAGGGGCAAGAAAAGGCAAGTCACAAAGAGGCAATTCAGGTGGATGATAAAATTGGAAGTGTTCCATTTACATAATCTAGCAAATGAAAACACTTTAAAGTGATGTCATTTTCACTTAAGAAACCAACCAAGTTTTTGTGACTATTATATTGCTGACATGGGTGACATGGCAGGGACACACGGAGAAGCTGCTGGTAAGGATGTAACGGGTTCAACCATTACCGAAAGCAATGTGGCAATTATGTATCAAAATAATCATGACTTTTCCTCCAGTGATCGTATGCCTAGGATTTGGTCCTCAGGAAATAATCAGAGAAACTAACAAAAACATATGCACCAAGATTCATTACATAATTATTTAAAGAGCAAAAATAAAGGAAACAAGGTTAACATCCATCAATTAGGGAAATAAATAGACAACGAAATATAATGCAGACACTGGTAATTATGCTTAGAAATACTGTTAATTATGTGGAAAATCCTCAAAGGAAGTGAAAATGTTTTTTTAAAACATCATATACAGCATAATCTCAACCAACTTTTAAAATATGCATAGAAGAACAGATTAAAAGGAAATAAGTAAAAATATTAAATGAACATCAGGTTGCTTTGGGCATTAAGATCAGGGACATAAAGTTTTTTATTTTTCCTAACTCTTCATTTTTTTTCTGTAATTTCCTAAGTATCAACAATGAGCATTTATTACTTTCAAAATGATGGCGGGGGGTGGGCTGGGGAATAATGCCTGGAGAGGGCAGTTCCGTGGCATGGTGAGCAGAATAATGGCTTCCTAAGGATGTCTATGTCCTAATCCCCAGAACCTGTAAAATACGGTAAAGCTCACACGGCAAAATGGGACTTTGTAGATGTGACTAAATTAAGGATCTTGAGATGGAGAGATTATCCTGGAGCATCTGGGTGGGCCCAAGGTCCTTCTCAGAGGGAGGCAGGAGGGTCAGAGTCAGAGCAGGAGAAGGGACATTGAAGATGAGGTGGGGCCACACACCAAGGACACGGCAGCCTCCGGGCTGTGGAAAAGTCAAGGAATCTGATTCTCCCCCAAAGCCACCGGAAGGAACGCAGCCCTGGTGACCCTTTTAGACTCTGACTTCCAGACTGTAACATTATAAATTTGTGTTGTTTTAAGCCACTAAGTGTGTGGTAATTTGTCCCGACAGCCTTAGGAAACTCTTAAGGTGGCATTCACCCATCTCACCTGAGTACCGGAGTTGGGCCCCCACTCTTGAACTGTCTGCTCCACTCGCTTCCTGGAACCATCTTTCCAGGGGCCCACTCCCCACCAACCTCGGCAGAGCACCAGCCCTGCTGTCTGAACCCTCCTGACACAGAAGGCAGCCCCGAGGGGGGCGCCTGGGTGGCTCCGTCGGTGAAGCGTCTGCCTTCGGCTCAGGTCGTGATCTCAGGGTCCTGGGATCGAGCTCCATATCGGGCTCCCTGCTCAGCGGGGAGTCTGCTTCTCCCTCTCCCCTGCTGGCTGCTCCCCCTGCTCATGTTCCCTCTCTCTCACTCTCTCTCTCAGATAAATAAATGAAATCTTTAAAAAAAAAAAAAAAAAAGAAGGCAGCCTTGAGCCCCAAGGAGCAGCATCCTCAACAGGCATGGTTACTCCCAGACTAGTGGATCGGGAGTAATCCTAGATGAGGAAGAAGCTGAGCCCCAGGGGGAGGTGACAGGCTCACTGGCAGAGAGGGACAGGATGGACCCCAACTCCAACACAGCACAGGACGTCAGCCAGTCTCCACTCTGGGCCAGCACACGTGGGTCTTGTCCCCGTCTGCCACCGCTTATGGCGAGGCTGAAGGTGGACAAAGCAGCTGTTTCTCTGAAAGTACAGGATACCAATCTCTTCCTTTCTCACAGAAAGTGAAGGCTGTAAAGCCAGTGGGAACTCTGGTTGGTGTTTTTTCCTTGTATACCTTGGAAACAATGAACTCTTTAGAAGTGGGAAGCAGTGCAGGGTAAATTGGTTGCTCGTTATGGGAAATTCAGTGGGAGAGGCTACTGAGGGGGGCACAACGGTTCACAGCACAGACCAGGTTCCTGCTTAGCACACAGCTGTGCTTGCTGGCTTCCAGCTGATGTGCCCACTCTGCCTTGATCACGTGGGTGCACACGCGCACACACACACACAGCTGCGCTACTCTCACATCTGCTCACCAACTTCCCCTGTTTCCAGATGTCAGGGGGAAAAAAGAAGCAGTCCTTTCTGTGCATCCGCCGCCCTGCTGATTCGCCTAAAGGCTCACCCAGATCTGCCTTCTTCATTCCTACGACCCATCCCAGCTTTGCCTTTACCAGCTTTACGGTCCTGGACATGTCACTTTCCTCCCCTAAGACTTTTCCCCCAGACACAGTGATATTCTCCCAGTCTGCCCCACCAGGCTGTTCTGAAGCATGTGAGGAAGCCACACAGCTCGTCCATTCCTCAGGCCTGCTCAGGCCAGGCTCATGTCCCTGTCACAGCCTTTGTGCTCACTGTTGGCCTGTGCCTGAAAACCTGCCCCTGATCCTAAGTGCCTGCTCCTTCTCGTCCTCCAGGCCTCTGCTCAGACATCTCCTCCCAGAGGCTCCTTGCAGCCCACCCCATCGATAGCACCAACCCCCTGCTCCCTGAGGCTCACTGTGTCAGGTCACCTAGCTCAGGTCTCCTTACAGCACCTACCACTTCTTGGAAGTATCATTTTCATTTCTCTGACTGATGGAATGATCAAATTTGACCACGTAAAATACTCACAAATCATAAAGGGCTGTCCACTTGCCGTGAACACCTTCTTCCAGAGCCTCAGATCCACACAATGCCAAATGCTACCCAGAGACTTTTCTACCAGGAGAACTCCACCACTCCTGATTCTTTCCTCTGCTCCTTGATTATGTTCACACTGACATATGATTCCCATACCACACAATTCACCCTTTTAAAGTGTACAACTCAGCAGTTCTTAGGACAATCACAAAGCTCTGCAGCCATCACCACACCCAATTCCTTTTTATCACCCCAAAAAGAAACCCCTGACTCATTAGCAGTCACTCTCCCTTACTCCTTCCCCCAGCCCATCACAACCACTAATCTACCTCCCGTTTCTGTGAATTTAGGTATTTCAGATATTTCATAGGCATGGGATGGTACAATAGATGGCCTCTTTTGCCTGGATCCTTTCACGTAGCACAATGTTTCCAAGGTTGGTCTGTGTTGTAGCATGTGTCCGTATTCATTTGTTTTTATAGCTGAATAATATTCCATTGTCTGGGTATGCCACATTTTATTTATTCCTCCATCAGTTGATGTACATTTAGGTTGTTTCCAGTTTTTAACGATTATGAGTAATGTTGCCATGAGCATTTGCAAACAGGTTTTTACATGGACATATGTTTTCAATTCTCTTGGGTATACACCTAGGAGTAGAATTGCTGGATCATGTGGTAACCACATGTTTATCATTTTGAGGAATGTCAAATTGTTTTCCAAAGTAGCTGCACCATTTTACGTGCTCATGAGCAATGCATGTCCTCTACAACTAATGTCAAGAGTTTCAAGTGTTCAGTTCTATGAAAAAGAAAGATGGGGAGTATGGTAATCCTATTTTTCCCTCTCCATGAGTTACATTCACTCACTCAACTAATACTTGCTATTTGTCTAATCTATACCTCGTGTGTTTGCAGGAGCAAAAATCCCTGCCTTCCTATGTCTTATGTTCTCTCAAGGTGGGGGAAGGGAGGAATCAGACATAGAGAAAAATAATGCAGGGGAATTGCTATTTTAATGAGGTTTCTTATCAGTGCAAGCCTCAGTGAGAATCAAAGTGGCTATATGAAGAAGAGCATTCCGGGCAGAGAGAACAACAAGTGCAAAGGCCCTGAGGCAGGAGTGTACCTAACATGTTCAAAGAATATCTAAGAGGCCATTTTGCCTGCAGTGGGTTGAGCCGAGGGAGCAGAGTAGAAGAGGTGATCAGGGAGATGATGCGGTGAGAGAACAAGGTGGTGCACCTTTTAGCTTCTGGAAGAACTCTATGTTTTTACTCTGAATAGGATAGGAAGTCATTAGAGGGTTTTGACCAGAGGAAAGACAGGATCTGGCTTGCATTTCCCAAGGATCATTATGGGATATGAGAGAAGAGATGAATGACCTCAGGTTTTGCCCGAGTACCTAGAAAAGTACCAAACACAAAGCTTGCCAAACACAAACATGGAAGAGAAAGGAATTCGAGAGGGGAAGATATGCTCAGGTCACATTTGAAATGTCAACATCTTAGTGGAGAGTTGAATGGGCAGTTGACTAAAAGATTCTGGGGTCCAGGGTGATGTCCAGGCTAATGTTACAACATCAGGCATCATCTGTATAGAGGTGGTATTTAAGCCAAGAGAGGAGAGGAGATCAGTGAGGGAATGGCTCTAGAGCTCTAGAGAGAGAAGCCCAAAACCGAGCCCTGCGGCCCTCCAGCATTTCCAGGTCAAGAAAATCCCCTTAATTTTTAATCAAAATGGTATCCATCAACTTACAGTTTCCTTCCACCACCATCCCCATCTCAGCCCCTCAGCAACTTCTACTATTTCCTTCTACCCCAAATGCCTAGAACCACGTGTCCCTCCCTGCTTTCTTTCCTCCAAAGCCGCCTCCATCCTCACTCTTTCCCTTCCTCATAAGGCATTCTCAAAGGTGACAGTGCAGAAGCAAGTGTTCACCAGCTCTCCTGAGCAACCAGGGCTCCTCTGTTTCTCTTAGACCAGGGGGGCCCATCAGTCCAAGTCCATTTGGAAAAATCAACCTCTGGGTGGTCAGGAATTATGCCTTGCGTAGGGTGAGGAATAGGGTGGATGACACACACAGATTCACTACTTGGAGAAACTTCTTAGAAACGGAGCCTGTTTCCCAGAAGGACCCCTTGCTGGGCCCCCTCCTCCCTCCACCAGCCATTTCATCCTGCCCCAGAAGCTGTTCTCTGGTACAGACCCAGGCCCCCCTCACCTGCACACTGGAAGAGGAGGAAGAGCAGCAGCAGGTTCATTCTCTCTTCACACAAGCCCCCCTTGATGGAGCCAGTCAACTCCGACCCAGCTCCGGCATCTTCCAACCTTCTGCTTTCCCCACTCTTGAACTTCCTCCTTTGGCCACTTCCCACTGGTGAAGAAACGAAAAGAGGAAGGAGGTAGAAGGGGTGAAATCTCAAGGCAAGAAGCAATGCAGCAAGTCTCAGTGATCATGAATAAGTTTTTTAGAAATACCCTCCTGTCTGCAGCCACAAAGGATTCTCTAAAAGGAGGACTTTGCTACTCTTTCTAGGCTTTGGTGGAAATTTGCAGACACAGACCCAATGGGTGGGGCTGGCTCTTACTCAATCCTTCTCCTCTGGTGGGAAGACTGGGCAGAGTGAACCCAGCTCCATCACACAAGTCTTGGAGAGCCGAAACTGAGAGACACAATACCAGCCACATGGAATTTCAGGTGTAGCCTTGGGAGCCCAGGAGGTCAGGAATTCAGCGGAGGGGAGCTTGGGCCCAAGCCCGAAAGCCAGAGGAGAGATTCTAGACCAGAGAGTGGAATGAGGAGGTGGAGAGTATCGAACCCCAGACTACAAAGAAAGGGGTTCAAAGAGTAGGGGTATGTGAGCAGGGACCTACTGGTCCAATGGGCAAGAGGGGCCTCTGTCCTCAGAACATACTGGAAACTCTCATTGCTGTGCCTTAGACCAAGTAAGAGCCTGTGGATTTTGATGCCAACCTGAATCCTCCAGACACTTGCCAGTTATACCAGGGCCTCCTTCCTGAAGAAAGCTGCTCATTGCTCATGGCTACTACCCCCTCATTCCTCATTCCCCGCCTTATAATAACTACCTGTGGAAGTAAGAAGAAGGTCAGCACCAGCTTTGCCTGTCTTACTCCTTCTTTCTGACAACTTTGTGCCCATTCCCCATCCCTCCCATCAGGACGCCAGCAAGCCCCAAGGTGGAGCACAGAAGCCAGGAAATGATAGGGCCCTTTCTCATATTTTGCCCCTGGAGCCAGTTTTGCTAAGTGTCACACACACCCTGTGACATCTTGAGAAGCGAGAGAGTCCCAAGGAGGGACATAAGCCCCTCACACCCTAATCAGGAATGAGTAGGTATGCAGGAGGCTTATTTGCATGCATATTAAAAAAACACAGCAGCTGATGAGCCAAGCTTTTCCAGGATGTGGCCAGAGACAGCTTTCCACTTTACATATCTCCAGACCATGAAGTAAGATCAACAATCTGGAGTGAGGACTCGGTCAGCCCTCCATCCCCATTGCTCAACAAGCCCATCCTCTGCACTGTACAGTTATGCTGAGAGACATCGGCCTCTGCAAACAAGGGCAGTATTTGGCTTCCAGGGGAAATGACCAAGGAGTTAAGCAAGCTGGGACATCCCTGAAAAACAAGGGAGCAGATGTTTTGAGAGTTGTGGGTAAACTTTCCTTTCTTGGACATAGGGGGTAAGGAATGACCAGTATCTGAGCTGCTCAAAGTCCTGCCTGTGGCCCGGCCCTCTGCTCCTGGGCCCAGTTTACCCAAGTGTTAGGAGTTAGTTGGACAATTAGGTAGTCAGGGCCAGGGTCCCAACAAGAAAATAGGGAGCCAGGACAGCTAAGACAAAACCACACTAGCATCCTGTTTTACAGCTTAGACAGGACCACAATAGCATCCTGTCTAGCAGTCTCTGCAGAAGTGACTTTTGCAAAACATCCTGAAACAAAACAATTAACCTTAAAACATTGGTCACTATCGAAATAAGTCAAACAGAGAAAGACAAGTATCATATGATCTCACTGATATGAGGAATTCTTAATTGCAGGAAACAAACTGAGGGTTGCTGGAGTGGGGGGTGGGGTGGGAGGGATGGGGTG